CGTTCACGGACAAGTGTAGGGGGTGCTGTGGAGAAAGCTGGAGTGGAAGTTGCTGCGGGTGTTGGGGGGAGAGCCACGGGGGGCAAAAGTGCATTGCCGCCGCTTGTACGAGGTGGTGGTACTTGTGGGCTTTCTCGTCGAAACCAAGTGAGATGCAGCCCGAGATTGTTTTTCGTGGTCATAGAGGAGGAAGGACGGGTGATTGTCGAAGCATCACTATATCTCAACAGAACAGGTCGCCGAGAAGCAGGGACGAGGCGATGGTCACTAGGCGAAAGGGGGGGATGCGGTGGTCACTCGTGGCACAAGTACTCTAGTTGGGTTGTGGGTGTGTGGTGGGGGCAGACGCGCCTGCGATTAGAGCGATTATCGATGATTAACTCGTGGGATGGTGTCGCGTCGTCAATCCCCCGGGAGCCAGCTGCCACTCTACAGACTACAGTACTGTAGATCACGTGGGAACGTTATCCACCACCCCAAACGCCAGATCTTGGCAAAAAAAACCCGGTGAGAGAGGGCAGCAAATTAATTCAAACGTCCTTGTTTACACTGGCAATGAAACCCTCCTAAGATGGACAGCACGAACACGCCAGTCCACAAGTCCCGTGCTCAGCCTCTTAACAGACTACGGTAGATGACACTGTGCCGGTACTGTACGGTACTCGGTATCCACTCCTGCATACTACCACCGCATTCAAAAGTTTCTTCGTGAGTCAGGAGCCTTGAGTCGGCCCAGTTCGGGCCGATTGCAACCCGACTAGTTGGTTTGGGTCCAAAGTGCAGTTGCTGGTGATTGGTAAACTTGGAAGTAAGTCATGAAGGGAAAAATCTTCGCCCTGGAGCACCGGTATCACGAGAGCGCCGTACTTGTACGGTACGAGTACCAGTAGGATACTACTCGTATGGTACAATACCCCCCGCGGGGTTCGAGCTCAACAAAATCGGATCACGTGGTGTCACTCGAAATCAATTTTGGGCCCCTTACCGTATCTGCTTGTAATTTACGGTATTGGCCCAGTCCACACCCACCCCTGAAATGCGTCAGCCCAAAGATATGATAAGCCAAAAACCCAACAAAGCCTCTACCGTATCCCGTCCACGTTCCCGTCACGCTCAATACCGCAATGGCCTCCGAGCTTCCTCCAGCTCCCCTGGCAGATATACCCGCTCTCCGCCGCTACGTCCTGGTCTCGCACACCGAGACCTACAATCGGACCTCAAACCTCCCCTCACAGACCCAAGAATCACGCCTCTCGCAGCAAACTGAATATGAAGCTTCGCTTGTTCAAGCTACCACGGAGCTACGCAGGCGGTTGATGGATGAAGAGATGGCGCTCTCTGAGGTTTGCATCATGTTTTTTTTTTCGTTTTCTTCTTCTACCGGATGTGAGAGGGGTGCACGGGACTTATGAGAAGGATGGGGCTGGGTTTAGTTGAGTTCACAGATCACCATACCCGACGATGCAGCATCTCGGGAGTCGCCGCGTAAGAAGCTGCGTAGGCTGAAAGCGGAGAAAGAAGCGTACGACGCGGCATTTCAGACGATCGATTACATACCCGGTCGGGACTCGCCCCTGAATCTTTTACTGGCGTATAGGAACGTTGGTAGGGTGATTGAGCAGACGAAGGTTGCTATTCCGATTGTCAATGAACGGCTGGCGTCGGTTCAGGCACAGATTAAAGTTGAGGAGGGAGACCTGGAGGAGCAGAACAGGCTAACCGAGGCACTGAGGAAGAGGATTGGGGAGCTGGAGGAGGATGAGCAAAGGATTGAGCTGGGCGTTGCGCATGATGATGCTATCGGGGCGATGAATAAGAAGCGGAAGGAGTTGTTGAAGAGGACGTCAAAGCTGTTGAGGGAGTTGCTGGCGTTCTTGAAAGATGGGGGACTGGCGAGGATGCTGGCAGCCGAGGGTATGGGTGGGCCGGTGGTGGGAGAGGACTTGGAGGTCACGCTGGAGACTGGCTTTGACAAGCGAGGGAAGGTGAGGAAAGGGGAGAGGAGGATCGACGACATGTGGGGACAGGGGGAGATTGGACCGGAAGAGAGTATGGTGGAGGAGTTCAAGACCCTGTTGGAGGTTTGTGGAATCGGATAGTCGTTTGAATGGGGTGAATGCTGATGGCGATTAGGAACTTATGAATGCCTCTTTGGAGACCACGCAGTATGTAAATCTCGGGAAGGATGGGGCTGCATCGAGGTTCTTAGTCAGAGCGAAAGTTGCCGCATATCATCCAAAGGATGCCAGGAAATTGAAACTACTGGACTTTGGTAGCACAGTCGAGGATGGGTGAGATCTAGGGTGATTGTTGATCATGTATGGTTAAGTTTAGAGCAATTCAGTCCAAATGATGGAACCGGCAGTGATTAATACCCAACCATGAGTAAGAAGAATACCGGTGAGTTAACCCCTAAACTGGGGTTCGAATTTGCCTCAGTTTGGACTCTTTGACCATTGGGTGGCTTCAGCTACCGGTACCTGCGCCATCGGATGATATGTTATGCGATATGATAGGAGCAATGCGAACGATATACTTGTAACTTACCGTAGTCTATCATATGATACCGGTACGAGTACTCGTACAGTAGGAGCCCGGGACCCCATGTCCCAGCAATCTTCCTTGGTGATGGTGGTGGGGTCCAAGTCTTGGCATATCCCTGAGGAAAACTCGTTCAAAACATTCCCCCGATACAAGCAAATTGCGGGGGCGCGACCGACCCAAAATGTCCGCAGTAACGGCCAGACGATGGCTCCTCCGTCCGAAAGTTACACATCTCCCGCCCTCCACCATCACCAGCCAATCCCGCAACATGAACTGGTTTGGCTGGAGTAAAAAGCGTGAGGGGGCTCAATCAAAACCGGCCGTCAACTCCATCAGCGAACTTCTGAAGCAATCACCGAAAACCAAAGCTGCAGCTGGAACCTATGGCGGCCAGCGCGGTGGCCTCGCGGGATCCTCCATCTTCGGCGATGGGTCTACCGAGGTCGCTGCTAGGGAGTCGGACATGGGCGCCTTCTCGACCGTTCACATCCGTGACCCGAATCGTGAGCATTGGGCGTGGCCGAAGCGAGCCACGGCCAGGGAGATACGACGTCGTGGGCGATTGACGAAGAGGGAAATGCTACTACGGACGGAGAAGGAACACTTGGCCAAGTCGCATATGTTCAAGACTTCCGTGAAGAAGTTGGCACCGATCGCTCGGCAGATTCAGGGGAAGAAGATTGAAGATGCAATTATTCAAATGAGATTTTCGGCGAAGAAGGCCGCTAGGGATGTTCTCGGGCATTTGTATGCTGCTAGGAACGAGTCCGTGGTTAGGAGGAGGATGGATCCGCAGCAGACGTATATTGAGCAGGCATGGGTTGGGAGGGGGACGTTTGGACGGGATCAGAATCACAGGGCGCGTGGCAGGATTGATATGCTTAGACTACCATACACCAGTTTGTTTGCCCCGCTCGGCTCTAAAGCTTTCTTGTGAATCAGGCGCTGACTGGGGGGATTTTCTTCTTCAGGCATTACTGTGGTTCTGAAGGAGCAGATTACGAGAGATAGGATTGCGAAGGAGAAGAAAGAGAAGAGGTTACGGAAGAAGCCTTGGGAACAATTACCTAGCAGGCCACTTGTCGGTCAGACACAGTACTATAGATGGTAGTATCTGGCTCAACGTGTGGCATTATATCTTCCAGCATGACCGTACAATGTAATCATAGACCAGTGTAAAAAATATTTATAGCATTACAATAGCGGACGGGTTGTAGAATCCTAGCCTTTGTCAGAGATGCGAATAACAAGAAGTGTGCGCCGTATAATGAATAGCTGTCAGCTACCGGTATGATATTTCACGTTGGAAATGATGCCTGTGAACCACCAGTATTCTGCTGGGGTTGGGGGGGGTGGATGGGCCCTTACATGGATGGGTCTTGCCTCGCCTGCGGCTCACTACCATACAGTATGATATTATGATACATAATTTCGATCTCTCCCCCGCAAATCACACATTCCCCCATGCTCTTCATTCTCCTCCACACCATCTTCTGCCCCCACCACCTCCGTCTTCGCGCCGTTTCATCTCTGCGACCGAAATTCCCCGCAATGACAACCACCCAACCAAAAATATATTCCCCGTTCAGAATGGCTTCGACATCCAGAAGGGAGCAGCCGGCGTGGACCCCACCATCACCTCACGGGGCTCCCCTCCCGCCTCTTCACATTTACAATTCTCTAACGAGAGAGAAGAACCTGTTTGTTCCTATCGACCCTAGCGGTAGGAAGATTACCTGGTACTGCTGTGGGCCTACAGTTTATGATGCCGGGCATTTGGGCCATGCACGGAATTATGTCACTACGGATGTCTTGCGGAGGATATTAAGGGATTATTTCGGGTTCGAGGTGCAGTTTGTGCAGAATGTCACGGATGTTGACGATAAGGTTGGGTTTTTCAAGGTTTCCCGGTAGCGGTGGGTAAAGTTGCCGAACCGGTTGCTAATTTGGTGGGTCTATATAGATTATTCTGAGAGCCCGTCAGCAGCATCTGCTTGAGGAGTTTATCTCTGAGAATTCGTCTATTACTCCGGAAGTTGCATCCACTGTGTCTGTGGCTTGGACTGCTTACCTGAGGAAGAATACTGCAGCCAGTGACGATGTGACTCCTGAGAATTTTGAAAATTGGGCCACGAGTGCTCAAAAAGAGATTATGGCTCTTGTCCTCAAAGAACGGGAGCGGAAGATCGATCCCTCAGCTAATTCTGAGGAAGAGGAGGAAGTACTCCTAGACGAAAAGTCTACAAAGTCTAAGATGCATCTCACGACTCTGCACACTGCCTCATTCGTTTTACAAAAGATCCCGGAAGACCCAAAGAAATTCTGGAGTGCTACGTCTTCAATCCTGCTCCCGTATCTGGACTCGCTAAACCAGGGCCGGGAATACCCTCCTGAGGTATTTAGCAAGCTTACCAGTTATTGGGAGAGCCATTTTAATGAAGACATGGCAACTCTCAATGTCCTCCCTCCTACAACGGTTACTCGTGTGAGCGAGTTCATCCCAGAGAACGTGGCATTTGTGAAGAAGCTCGTCGACAGAGGATTTGCGTATCCTACGGCAGACGGGTCGGTCTACTTTGATATAGCGGCATATGAGGCCGCCGGCCATCATTATGCTAAACTTCAGCCCTGGAATAAAGGCGATGAGTCCTTGATTGCAGATGGTGAGGGTGCTTTGACATCAGATGGATCTGCAACCCTACCGAGTACTGTTGAAACAGGAGAGGAAGGCAAGCCAAAACTACTAGCTAGCAAGAAGACACCGCAAGATTTCGCTCTATGGAAGGCATTCAGAGCAGAAAAGCCGGGAGAACCAAGCTGGGACAGCCCGTGGGGCAAGGGACGACCTGGGTGGCATATCGAGTGCTCGGTTATGTGCTCGGAAGTCTTGGGTGGTCAGGTTGATATTCATTCCGGAGGGATTGACCTTGCGTTCCCGCACCACGATAATGAGATTGCCCAGAGTGAGGCGTACTGGGATGGGTATGTTCTCTCTGAAACAACTAGCTCGTGGGAATCCGGTAGTACTAACTGTGGAAGATGCTGCGACATCCCCAAAACCGCTGATGGAAAGCACCAATGGGTAAACTACTTTCTCCACATGGGCCATCTATCAATACACGGCAGTAAAATGTCCAAGAGTTTGAAGAACTTTGTTTCCATCCGTGACGCACTTACTCGCGGAGGATGGACCCCGCGAGGGCTTCGTATAGTGTTCCTATTGGGGGGGTGGAAAGACGGTATTGAAGTTCGAGAGGGGGTCCTAATGGAAGCTAAGAACTGGGAGACCACAACAGCAAAGTTCTTCTCCAATGTAAAGGCACTAGTATCAGAGGAGGAAGAAGAGGAGAAGAAAGGGAACCGAGCCAAACAATTGTTTGGGCCTTTGGAGCATGATATATATAAAGAGTCTCTTCCTCCCTCCCTCCCTCCGATCGCCTACTCGCTCTGGATTATGCTGATATGACAAAAAAAAGCCTTGACACCGCCCGCCAAAACCTCCACACCGCCCTCTGCGATAACTTTAATACCCCCGCGGCAATGAAAGCCCTGACCGACCTAATCGGCTCGACAAACAAATACATGTCCCAGACCAGATCCCTGGCCGCCGTCAAAGAGATCGCCAGATGGGTCACGCGGATCGTGACAATATTCGGCTTAGATCCAACCAGCACTCCAAACGGCTCCGACCGCATCGGCTGGGCCGACTCCACCACCACCTCCTCTACAGATGCGGAGGAGATCGCACTACCCTATCTCCGCACCCTCTCCACGTTCCGCGACAGCGTCCGTGCCCTCGCCATCTCAAACCCTAAAGACGTCATCTCGAAGGACATCCTACTGCTCTCTGACCGCCTCCGCGATCACGACTTGGCGAGCCTGGGCGTAGCGCTCGACGACAGAGATTCAGCCAAAGGCGCGCCGGCGCTTATTAAATTCGTTCCAGCAGAGGAACTTGTAGCAGCACGGGAGGAAAAGGAACGTCGTACTGCCGAGAAAGAGAGGAAGAAGGAAGAGGCAAGACTCAAGAAGGAAGAGGAAGAAAGGAAGAGGGAGGAATTAGCGAAAGTCAGTCACTTGGAAATGTTCAAGACGGATGGCAGATTCTCGGAGTGGGACGAGCAGGGGATTCCTACAAAGGATAAGGAGGGAGTGGAGGTTACGAAGAGCAGGAGAAAAGCGCTGACTAAGGACTGGGAAAAGCGGAAGAAGTTGCACGAGGGGTGGTTGAAAGCAAAGGGCGGTGCAGCTTGAGTTGGAAAGGGAGGAAGTTTGGGGTGAGTGATTGGTTGTGAGGTTTCTTTCTTTTTCCCCTCCCTTCCCTCCCAATTCTTTTAAAGTTGTGGTGGGGCTTTTTTTTTCTAGATATTGTTATGCCTGGACACCGTGGGTGTGATTGGCTAGAATATATATTTTATGCTGCGTTCCACATATCGTGATTTATTGACGGCGGAAGGTAATGCACCGCACGGTACTCGTACTGCACCAGTTACCACTGTCTTGATATCATACGTCTAGAAATCGGCCATATCATCCACATCACCCGACCATCCGTCCCGTCCCGTCCCAACCGCACCGTACCATACCAAGCAGCCAGCCGGTCCGCCCATCATACCCTAGAGTACAAACCCCGCATAAAACCCTGCAAAAAAAAGGGGGGGGGGGGGAGGAGAGAAGTAAAAAAAATAGAAAGCAAAAAAAGCCCTATTGTAATATAGCGTTTTTTAAGGGCAGGTATCATGTCCCAAAAGAAGGGGGGGGGGGATGAAATGGAGGCTCAATAAAAATCTACAGGAACCACCCTTCCCCTTCAACACCTGAGGTCAATCCCTACCCTCTTCTCTCCTTCTCTAACTTCAAACATAATCTGCACGGCCATGAAAAGCGCAGTACACGCAAGAGCGACAAATCCAAACCCCTCCCAGCTCCCCAACACGCCGCGCATCAAATCTCTAACGCCCTCAACACCAATAGCGAATCCAACAAGGTTCGCGCCCATCATCATGAGCACGTTCCCCACTGCGCCGAGACCAGAAAGATACCTATATGTCATCTCCCGACCTTCAAATCGCCGCTTGGAGAACACCTTCCGACAAACCAACTCCGGGATGACGAATAACACCACAAGCCAGCCCCAGGTGAGGAGTTTAAAGCTAAGGTCGTGCCAGAGCGCGACAAAGGTGAAGACAACCACCATATTCGCGATGGGCCGGCTAGCGCCGCCGAAGGGAATGTATATGTAGCGCACGATCCAGCGGTTGAAGCTGCGGTGCCAGGCGCGCCAGAAGGCAAGCGCCGAATAGTTGTTGCTCATGCAGCGCAACATATTCTCCGGTGGGTCCATGTGGTCCACGAGTGCCCAGAGGCGAAAGAAGCGCCAGGGGATGAGTAGCTTGAGCCAAATGATGTGCAGGTTGAAGTAGCCGATCATAGAGAGTTGGAAGGGCGTGTCGGAGGACCAAGAGTCGTAGGTGTGCCCGGTTTTGCTGATTGCTACGACATAGAGGTAATGCAGGACCAATTCCATTGTCAGGATGGAGGAGAGGAGGCGCAGGCCGTATTTTATTACGAGGGTTGGAGAAGTGGTTGGTTGGGGATAGCGTTGCTAGGAGCATGATTGTTAGTGTTCGGAGGGGAGAAGGGGAGAAGGGGGGGGTACCTGGTGAACGAAGTCATTGAAGGTAATTATTGGCCCGGCGAGGTATAATGGCGAGTATAAAACATACGCAAGGTAATTGAAGAATCCATAGTCTTCCATGGCGGCCGGTGTATCGATCCTATCCCGCTCGCTGATGTTTTTAGGGTCAAGGAGTTTTTTCTTTTGCTCGAGAATCAGTCCGGGGCTCTGAGCTTCTACATCATCTGAGGGATCGTCCTCTGTCCCCCTCTCCCTATCTGTTCCTTCAACATCTCCTCTTCCTATAAGACTACGTACCTCCAGAACGCTTCCTTCATCCCTTCCAACAACTACTTCGTCTGCTTCCTCCAGTCGCTTGGCAGCCCAGTAATGATCCATGTTGTAAGAGATGAGTCGCAAAACCGTAATGTTGAAGCTGATTTCCCAGCGCGGGAGTAAGCCTCCGTCGAGGAAGTGATCCATCGCATACCCGACCCCGGCGCCTTCCCCGGCAATCAGCCATGGGAGGATGAGGCGGAAATGGTAACCCTCAAAGTACTCATTCGCAAAAAGAACGCCAATGTTAAACCCCCAAGTCAAGATTGGCACAAAAATAGAGCTGGGGTGAAAGAACGAGATGAGCCAATTCGCAGTGAGGATGACGAGAATCTTGATGGCACTGAGCGAATGTAGTGCGGTGAGAAGTATAACTGCGAACAAGATGTCGAAGTACTTTCGTCGATTGATGTTGTGCGACGGGAGGTAAGAGGAATTGTGCGGTGGAGTGGGAAATAACCTGGAGAAGAGCGCGTTGAAGCCTCGACGCAGGAGGAAATGGCCTAAGAGAACTCCCACGAGAATGGGTATGTTGTCGCGAAAATTGGCGTACTGCTGATCAGAGTTATCCACTTTTCGCCCAGGGATCCAGCCAGGGGAAAGAAGGAGCTCGAATTTAGGGTAGTTGGGATGCGATTCTGTTCATGTGGTTTTTTCAGCAGTAGCCCCTGGAACTAAGATGGGAAATTATTTCGTTTGGTTTCCTTTTCAACGTTTATTTTGAGGGAGGCGCACACCTTTACTTATATCATATGTGGTCTTGAACATTAAGATTACAGCTATTCCCACGCCGATGGTGTATAGCCAGAACTCGGGGGTCCCCCATTTCGACGGCGAGGACTCTTTGCGCAGTTTCTGGCTACGTGAACTTTCACCGTTGCGTGCGGTTCCTGCTAAGGATGGAGCGGTGGGGTTTTTGGGAGGGGAGGAGGACCGTGGGGTATTCGCAGTCAAGCGAGAGTCGAGCGTGTCTAGTGAGAAGATGGAGCGAATAGTGGAAAGGCGCAGCATAGCCGCTGTTGACTAGATGGGTTCAAAAAAAACTAGTCGCTCAAAAGGGAGGGTGTAAAGGGGTGAGAGGGAGGGATTTCTCGATATGTAGGAATATGGAATAAAGGGAGATCTCGAACGAGGATATTATATACTTTTGTTCTTCCTCTATCGGTTAAAGAGCGTATGATTGGGAAGGTGACGGCTTCAAAGAGGGAGAGGGCGTCCCAATGCAGTATTTGAGAGGAGGAAAGAGAAGAGGAGTGGTTCAAAGGGATGGTTACAGCTATTGCAGGTGCTGCAAGCTACGAGTATGGTGATTCGAGTATTGGCACAGAGGCTCTGCCGTATTCTGAGGAATTCACGCGGACAGAGCAAAATACCCGTAGGGCTTCATAAGTTCTGGGATGTCCGGAGCCTGGCGTTGAGCTGAACACGAGTAATGCTTGGCGGAGAATCCATGTGCTGGAAGGCAGAAGATCTGATCTGATATTCAACCACTACATGTACTGTAAGGTAATCTAATCCGATAATCTGTCCAACCCCACCCCTTCCGCGCGCGAAGACAAATCCCGAGCGCGCTTTTCCCCACTACTTGAGTTCAGTCGCGCGTTCTCCCTCCATAGGAAACGGCACGAAGACCCATTCCACCAACCGCCATCCCTTAAACCGACACAAATAATTTCTCTCCTTTACCGGTTCCTTATAGCTCGAATACTTGCATTAGTACCTCACAACTCTTCCCTGTAACCATCATGTCGGGGTTACAGCCTGTCTTACCTTCGAATCAAGCTCCCTCGACTTTCGAGTACGGCGGGGGTGGTGCCCCTTTACGCCCTAGCTTCCGTAGCCGGTGCCATTTGCTAATCACTCAATTTCACAGATGAGATTTCAGCAATAGTTCTCGATCCGGGCACTTCCTGGATTCGTGCGGGGTTTGCCGGCGAAGACACTCCAAAGTCCGTGATTCCTAGTGATTACGGTGTACTCGAGGGCGTTGAGGAGAAAGGGAAAAAGTATTTCATCGGTGACAACGATGTTCACTCGATACGGCCTGGCATGGAGGTCAGGAATCCAATGAGTGATGGAATAGGTGTGTAATTTCTTCCGGCCCCTTTGGCATTTACAAATTGTCTAATATCTGCACAACTTGAATGCCCCGCATGCCGAGCTCCGGGGAGTCACGCAGTTTCGCTAATATTTGAATAGTTGCCGACTGGGAAGCTGCGACTACCCTCTGGCGTGAAGCAATTACACCACGTTTGACTATGGCACTTTCCGAGCATCCCCTGCTGATGACTGAACCGTCGTGGAATCCTCCTAAGAATAGGGAAAAGACAATCGAAATTGCGTTTGAAGATTTTGACGTTCCTGCATTCTATCTTGCGAAAGCCGGGGTATGCGCTGGATTTGCGAGTGGTAAGTCTACAGGACTCGTAATTGATGTTGGAGCTTCAAACATCTCAGTTACTCCTATCCACGACGGACTTGTCCTTAGAAAAGGCTGTGTTAGATCTCCTTTGGGCGGAGAGTTCCTTTCCAACCAGATCAGAGCGTATTTTGAGTCGGCAAATATTCCGTTATCCGCACACTATCAAGTTCTCTCTAAGACTGCCGTGGAGGTTGGGAAGCCGGCGGAAGCTACATACCGTACTTTCGCTCCCGGAGAGGAGCCCACAGAATCTTACAAACGCTTCCAGGAGGAACGTGTATTGACTGAGTTTAAGGAGTGCACAGCGCAAGTATGGGTTGGCCCTGGCCCATTACCCGGGAACAATAACCCACCTCTCGAAGCCGCGCATGCAATCCTCTCGCCTGGCGGAAGGACGTTTGAATTTCCCGATGGCTACAATTTAGTCTTCAACTCTGAGCGCTTCCGCATCACGGAAGGCATCTTCCATCCACCCTCTATGTTGACTGCACCAAATCCAGATCCCAACACTACCCCTGGCCTCAACCAGCTCATAGCCAATGCTATGAAAGACATTGATGTCGAGCTCCGGCAAATGATTCTCAACAATATCGTTATCACTGGAGCTGGAAGTCTCCTCTATGGCTTTACAGATCGGGTTAACGCCGAGATTGCCGCAGCCTTCCCTGCACCAAGGGTTAGGGTCATGGCTGCTGGAAACAGCGTTGAGAGGAGATACGCTAGCTGGCTGGGAGGAAGTATCTTGGCAAGTCTGGGGGCTTTCCATCAATTGTGGGTTAGCAAGAAGGAGTATGAGGAGCATGGTAAATTTTTATCTCTCTTCCTAGGATGCAAGGATAGCAGCTAATCCTTACAGGTCCCAACATTGTTGAAAAGAGGTGTAAGTAGATGTTTTCCTTTATCGTTGGAGTGGTGGTGTAATAGTTGCGGATGCTAGGGGGAAGTTGGAAGGTGATGTGGGGTTTTTAAAGCGCCGGCTATATGGCAGATAATACCCTGGGCTGCTGAGTAGCCTTGTAATTTTGTCCTGTCTTTTTTTTATCTTTTTTTGTTGTGGATGGGGTGAAGTTTTGTGCTTCGTTTGTAAGTTATGATTACGGTTTCTGTTATCAACCCGAAAAGATTTTTCTTGAACTCTTGATCTCACAGCTATTGTAACAGAGGTGTGATCGTTAATCACTAGGCTATCGCACTTCAGGCCGGGGGGGACTCTCTATGTTAGTGAAGACGTCGCCATTAATGATGTTGAAAAATTTACATCCTGAGACAAACCATCTCACAACATAGTATTTGACTCGCGATTGGCAGTTTGATTTTACAAGAGACTTGCCGGCCCCAACACTATTACAAGTATTCAGCACCGTTTCTCCCGCAGCCCAGGTAGGAGGGGGCTTATCACGGTTGGGTTCCCCCCTTTCCAGCAGAGTTGCAGCGTGGACTGTTTGTCCTTGGGGAAACAGGTATGCTATACCGAGTGATAACACATGATTTCGCAACAGACATCTGCCACAACTTCAATTGGAGAATCAGCGCATTGAGCAAAACTTCCTTGGTTGTAGCGTCAGATCAATAAATAGATTCCCCTAATAAACATTTCTTGCGCGATATAGTTAACCAGTCGGGGAATGTATGTTATTCAGCATTCTAATTGCTCGAACAATTGTCGGAGGACCATTTGTGGGAAGGGACGACTTCACACCTTTGTGTTTCTGCTCCCATGCACCCACTGCACCGCACAGGACGCGGCGGTGCACGAAAGACCCTCTTGAAGCATCCCCCCCCCCGACCCCGAACTGGTGCAGAGACGAGCGAGGACGGGGAGGAAATATGAAATTGGTGGCAGGACTTGAATATAGAGGTCCTAGCGCGAGAGCTACCTCCATGCATTGGCAAACCTGCGAGGGTGTATTCTGCAGGCTTGAAATGTGGGAGAGAGTTGTTTTTGCGAAAAGGTATCATGCCCACAATTGATTTTGGATGACGGGCATTGAGTCATGACGGACAATGGGTATCCGGACTTTCAGATTCGCGGGAATTGTGTTGGTTTTCCAAAAAAGAAAGAGATTGTGTCTGGCCTTGCCAACCTAGGCAATAGACTGGTATGATAGGCTAGAATTGAGGCTGGGCCGGATAGGCTCCCGTGCGATTCTCTGAGTCCTACCTCTGCTGTAATGCTTGACTCGCTGCCCATACTTGTACCGCACAGTGCGGGAGTGTGGGAATAGGCAATAAGGTCTCTTATTGTTCTTGTTCCAGGTGGTTCATTAGAAGTGTTTTTTTGTGTTTTTTTTGTGTTCTTGTTATGCCATGCAAATTTTGCGCGTAATCTATCTTACTTGAACTCGAGTACTCTCCCTGCCAACCAAATTTACTGGTATCATCATACTACTATAAGCAGTACCGTACTCTAGCAACTTGTGTGACGCTAACAACATGGTTAGCCATTCTGGAAAATAAAAATAGAAATGCTACCAAGTATGATACACCGTGGAAGGAATCACTCATAGGGCTTGGGGGGGGGCGCCGACAGTACCCCGTACTACTTGTATACTCTATTCAAGTACCCGGGGATGTCTGGTACCGATAACCCGAGAGGAATGGAGGTAGTTCGGTACCGTGCTCGAGGGCAGTACGAGTATGGAAGAGGTTATATCAGACTCTACAATTTTATTCAAGTAAGAAGGCAATTCCCCGTAGTTTTTGTTTCTTTTAGAGATTGTGGAAATATACCAGCTTACTGGTACTCGATCGGATCAGCGGCCCCTGGAAAAGGGGGTGAGATACAGGGGCGTCGGGTTTTACAACAGCGGGTCTTTTATTTTAAATTATTTTCTACATTTACCGCCTGTTCGCCATTGACAATTAGCAGTTGACTGCCCATCGCCCAATGGCGACGTGACATTCCTGCTGTCATGCTCAAATACCCCGTCTCACCACACGGATGGCGCTATTAGCGCAATTAAACATGACTTGCATCACCAACACTTTTGTCTTGTGGCTGCATTTCCTTGGCGTGTAAATGCTTGGCTAGCTCTCCTTTGTGGGATGGATGACCCTCAAACACCACCGCGCGAGATAATGTGGGTCAACCTCTTCGATAGACTACCTTACCCTTACTGTACTCGAGCACTGCTACACTGCCACTTTACCTGTCATCGGAGCATATCCACTATGAAGAAATTCTTTACGTGGTATAGAGGATCAAGTCAAAGTGGTGATCCCCGCCAGCATGACATCTCGAACACCCAAACTGGCGATGGAGTGACCGATACTGCTCACGGTTACTCAATTCGGGATGTTGGGAATGTGTCAAATAGTTATAACACCATCAACGTGGGAGTAGATGAAGAATCTTTACGGATCCAAGCATGGTTGTCGCCGCTCGAACCCCATAGAAGGCACCAAGATGTGAGGAATCTACGACTTGATGGTATTGGGGACTGGGTTCTGCGTAAGAGCGAGTTCGAGTCATGGCGCCAGGGTGGAGACGGCTCAGAGGGTTCAACTTTGCTATGTTATGGGGATCAAGGGGTTGGGAAGACCTGTATAAGGTACAATAGTCATTCTCTGGAAACCATAGACTATGCTGACGGTTAATGGGAGCAGCTCATTGCTAATAGACACACTGTGTGACCAAGCTCATGGACAGAATATCGCCATTTTATCCCTATACTGCGATTACCAGGCGCGGAAGGACCAATCGGCGGTAAATATGGTGGGTAGTCTACTCAGGCAGATTGCTGTAGGGGCGACGAGAATTCCGGTTGAAATTAAAAGTGCTTTCGAAGAGTCGAAGCAGAGGGGTGGCCACGGTCTTCGATTGTCGGATATGTTGAAATTGTTTGTCAAAACAATCAGTTCCATTCAACAAATCTACATCTGTGTCGACGCGGTAGACGAGTTACTGCCACAGAACCGATCAGAGTTTCTGCGCGCGTTACGACAGATTCTTCAGGATTCACCAAATGCGCGGCTATTTCTTACAGGGAGGCCGTATATTCGTGGGGAGCTTGACATGTATTTTACGGAGGGAGCTTATGTTATACAAATTGTGGCCGACGAAGGAGACATCGCTAGATACCTAAGCCGGAAGATAGATGATGACTGTGTCCGGGGCCTAGGATTGATGACAGAAAGTCTGAAAAATGATATAGTGGAAATAATCTTGGACAAGGCTTCAGAGATGTAAGTAGAAACTGCTCTATGATGAACACACATCACTTATTGATATTCTGCAAAGGTTTCTGCTTGTCGCATTGAATATTGATGCAATCTTGGGCGAGACCTCATTAGCGAGGAGAAAGCAAATGTTGCGAAAGGTGGCGATAACTGGTGTCGACCTGGACAGTGTGTACGCTCAGACACTGCAACGAATAAGGGAACAGAAGGGTGACCGGTCAAGACTTGGGATGGAGGTGCTAATGTGGGTATCCCACTCGGAACGACCATTGCAGATTGGAGAACTCTGCCATGCCCTGGCTGTAGAGGCGGAGTTTATGGATCTAGACCCTGAGAACATCCGCCCACCAGATATAGTCCTGGGATCATGCTTAGGGCTTGTAGTGGTTGACAAGGAGACATCGACCGTCCGTCTAATCCACTACACGCTTCAAGAATACCTTTCCCGCCCTGGCATCCTGCCTGATGCCCACAGTACGCTTGCGCAAACGTGCTTGGCCTACCTAAATTATGAGCAGGTCAAGGGTCTTCCCGCTGATCGCATCCCCAATATCCGGGACATGCCTTTTCTCGAATATTCGTCTTTTTATTGGGGAAGCCACGCCAAAGCGGAACTATCAGGTCGCGCAAAATCGCTTGCGCTGGAGCTGTTAAACCATTACGATAACCACACATCTGCTGCCTTACTTTTCAACCAAATAAAGATTTTCCATTCTTCCTCGGCTACCAATCGCTTATTTACTAGCTTGCACTGTGCATCTTACTTCGGGATTGTTGAGGTGGTAGCTGTTTTGATCGAGATGAATGGTTGTGATATCAATCAACGAGATTGTACAGGGTTTACACCGCTCACGTGGGCTGCTCGTCAGGGGAATGAAGGGGTGGTGAGACTACTGCTCACACATGGCGATATCGATCCCGACAAGCCAGACATCCGTGGCGAAACACCACTCTGGTGGGCTTCTGTGAATGGGCATGAGGGGGTGGTGAGATTACTGCTCACACATGGCGATATCAATCCCGACAGGCCGGACAGCGGTGGTCGAACCCCACTGCTGCTCGCTTCATTGGATGGGCATGAGGGGGTGGTGAGATTACTGCTCGCACGCGGTGACGTAAATCCCGACAAGCCAGACAACGGCGCTCGAACACCACTTTTGCTTGCTTCTTACAATGGGCGCAACGAGGTGGTGAAGTTGCTGCTCACACGAGGCAATGTCAGTCCCGACAAGCCAGACGACGGTGGTCGAACGCCGCTATGGTGGGCTTCTAGGAATGGGCACGAGGGGGTGGTGAGATTATTGCTCACACGGGACGATGTCGATCCTGGAAAGCCGGACAACCATGGTCAAGCACCGTTCCTGATCGCTTCTACGTATGGGCGTCAGGAAATTGTAGCACTCCTCCAGCCTTTCATAACTGGAATCTTTAGCGTCGATTAAGCTCAAAGGGTGATTTCCCCACATCCCCTCTTTCCGCATACGTATGCCTACAGCTTTCGAAACAGTTTCCATATCCGTACCCGCCATTAGTACAGCTCCCGTCCTCCCTCCGAAGCCCTTTGCAGCCACCCGGTGCATCTGGCATCTCGCGTGCTCCCCCCTCCCCCTCCCTTTTCTTTGTTTTCAGTTTTTCCTAAACCCTGAGCTTTAAAGTAGTCTTGGGCATGGTGGCGTTGCAGGAAAGCACTTACTATGTATTGTATAAAATGTTAATCTCCTCGGATCTTTTCTATTTATGGCGTTTGGTAGAAAGGGTGGTGTTATTATGTCGAGATGCTCAGGGCCATGGCTTTATATGTTACCGCTTCGGAAATTCCAGTGTTTGTTTTCCTGCGCATATATATTCCCTTTCTTGTGTTATATGATACTTTATTTTCTTCCACCTTTTGCTGTAGGATTCTAGCCGTTCTTGTCCACCGCCGATGGAGGTTCGCCGCGGTGGGCAAGTTTGGAAGGGTGGATAATAGGGCGGTCACACCGACACTGAGGTGCTTTGTATATAGATTTGCTTCCCATCCGCAGCCAAAACCTGCAGGGTCTGCTGTACTCTCGGAGAGATCTTTTGGAAGAGGTGTGAAGGTTCTGGATTTTTCCTTTCAAGTATAGCGTGGCGGCGGCGGGAGGCATGATATCATAAATGGCGAGATATCTAGGAGCCGAGACGGTAATTTTATGGAATACGGGTCGGGCCAATCGGTGAAAGGAGGATTCATGCTAGAAAATTTCCATCATAGGTGGAATGCACATCCATTTATCATTTTTCTAAAATAGAAAGGGGACTTGCAAAATAAAAAAAAACAAAAGAAATAAAGGAAAACAACGTATGGTACCAATTAAATATCTCCATATCGTACCATACCCGTGCCCCTCTAGCTTAACTAAAAATGCAAAAAAAAAACCACTTTACATCACTCATCAGAATAGCTTTTTTGTCATCCCCACCCTATATCCAAAGGTTCCTATAAAATAGTGCTCGGAACTAGATGTATTTTAGCTTGTCATCATATGAGTTAGAATTCCCTCATTTCCCACATAAAAATTGACGCTGGATGTGATCCGCCATCTACGAGTGGTAGATAGAAGTTGCAAACATAGAGTTTCTTGGTCCTTATGATCGTAATGTTACTACATGCTCGTCAGCTAAATTATCATCAATCAAGAAAATATCAAAGGGAAGGGGGAAGGTTTTGTTGTCCAGGTTTGCTGATTTTGATTTTATTGAGTACTCGTGTGGCTGGTTTGAAGCTGGACACCTAAGGTGTCAACTCCCATACAAAATGTCCGGTTTCAATTCAGCCGCGGGAGTATAGTTGTCCTTTTGGTCCTCCGCTGACATGTTGTGATCCTCAATATGGTGGGTGCCATCTGTTCTGACCTGCTGATTTCATTCTTTCTTCATTCTCTCTTTGGCAATCATTGTTCCTCCTGTTTCAAAGTCCGAGTCCCTCAAATTTCCTAAGGACCCGTTTGGATATGACTGTTCCATTCCGTTCCCCCCATACAAATGACCGTTGCCTTCCGTTCTGAAGATGCTAAGACAACCGTTTCCGAGGGTAAGATCATCGCTGAACGGAACGGTTGACCCGCCTACCGTTCCAGCCAAACAGTCCCTAAGTGTCACGGGCCACCCCAGATCCCTCCCACATCCTTCTAGTTCCGCATCCTTTTGATATCTCGAATACGTGGTGGTGGTGGCTGTAGTCATGTCATGATGTATCGTGCATTGGGTGTTGAGGGGGATGGGGAAGAAATCGGAGGGACTGCTACTTTATATAGGTACTCCAACTACAAAACCCTCACTGCAGAAGAAAAGAAAAAAACTAGGGTTCAGGCCTACCATAGAATATCCTGGTGCAAACAATTTGTACTGTGATAATATTATTATGATAATAATTATTATTATGAGATACACATTTTTCCAAATGGGGCCTGGTCATAACCCTCAACCTAAATCCTATCCTCATTTATCTAACTCCTTCCTCTTTTTTTTCCTATCATAGCAAGTTTTAATTATTCGTGCCCAGAAACAGGCCCTCAAAGTCTCGAGGGGGTACTGCTAGTAAGAGTAATTATTGCTTTCGGGTTGCTTTGTATTCACTTTTTTTTTTGAGTTTTCGGGTGGATCGCTCATGTACTGGGGGCTTTGTTCACTGACCGGTCAATTCCTGAAAGCTTATTTCATATGCCGTGATACAATATCATATTGAGGGTATTGTACTGGTACTGTGCACGCCGACTAGCCTCGTCCATTACTAGATATGGGCAATGGCCGTTATGAATATATGGGAGGGTAAAAAGTTGGAAATATCATAAACTGTACCATCCCTCTGGCTTATTCAGATTGTTTAATATATGCTTTTCTTCTAAGGGGTCTCGGCGTGACCTGTGCTGCTCTGGCTTTATTTTTGGGGAAGGAAACTAGGAATCGAAGGCTCGATCCTAGTTTTTTTTCCTAATTGCATTGTCCCAGTTCCAGCATTTCCCAATAGTCGGGCGAGTCTGTCCTCGTAGTTTTGTATTCTTAGCCGGTAGTGTCAGTGGCAGGGATGTTAGAATCTGTGGACTGGTGCTTGCATTACTTATGCCTTTTACGGAGGGGAATCAAAAAAAAAGCCGGATATGAAGCCCTCAATTGGCCTTGTATCGGTGGGATGGGAGAAATTCCTTCTGCGAGACATATTTCCTTAAGTCGCATAAGATGTCGTGTCTCCCAGGGGCATCTTGTGGCTTGGCTTTTGCCTTCAGGTATGGTATGTCGATCAGAAGCGGACGCTCGGAGTGGGATGCCCACATTAGCGCCTCCGCTCCAGGTCTTGCTCGGTCACGCTTCTGTCCCCTCATCCGCCGTGGAGTTTGGGCATACACACCATCTAGGTCCACGCCAATCGTCGCCACCTTTTTCAGCATTTTCCCTCTCCTGGGTAATGAACGCTCGCCCAAGATTGCATCGGTATTCAATGCAACAAGAGGAAACCTTTGCAGAATAGCGATGAGCGATCCACACCTGCCATAAAGTTTCTCCTATAATAGGAGCCGCGAGTCATCTAGTATGGTGGTTGAGGTGGGGCGAACAACATCACTTGAGAGTATATTCGGCTTATTCAAGATGAGGAGCTTATCGATATCCACTTGTTCGTAGCAAAGTTTACAAGCCAGGCATCATAACGTGGGGAGGGGGAGGTCTCTTCTCCTAATCGAGTGGGTCCTTTGTACGAGATTCCAAGCACTCGGGACTGACCCTAGACGAGCTTGGTCGGTGTTCTATTTACATTGCCTAGCTTTAATTGGCACTTGTATGGAACAAATGATTGGGCCATGTAGTGCGGGTGCACAAGTACCCCACGGTTGTGCTTTAGTTAAACTTAGGCCATGCTTGGGGGAGCTTGCCATTATTTTTCCCGTAGCTTGGGCTGCGAATAAAGTCTCGGATTTAACAAAAGTTAATTCTCAGTTAAACTGTGGAATCTTAAGTAATAGCTCTGTGCGCTGTGTCGTTCGGGTCACCCCCTCCCCACAAGGTCTGCTGTTTTTTGTGTTTCCCCGTGCCTTCCGGAGGGGCTGAACTGCTCATCAATGGCCGGATTTTTGTCCCTTTTCCAGATAAGGAAATTTTGGACCACTTAGTATTACACGGGCTCACCATTTGGGATTCCGCTGGAGTGAGAGTGTGTGATTTCAACAGGCTGGTATCATAAGTGGTTTAGGGGGCGTTCGGCACACGGTAGTTAGGATTTGGAAACACGGTATTGTCTCGAGGCTCCCCATTTTCAAATTTTCAAATTTTGCATCCTGACTTCAAACCGTAGAATAATAGTGCTCAATAAATAAATAGAACCAAGCGGAGGAGAACCCATCAGAAAAAGCCAGTGGAAGGGATCTCGATGACAGAAGAATACTCCTCCAAAATAGAGAGAGCTTAAACACGTGACCTAGCACGAGTAGGTAGGGTCTGAACGATGAGAGGGAATGGAGTAGTTAGAGAAGGTTGAGGAAGAATAAGAGATGCTTGAAGGGGGTGGGTGTGATGGAGAAGGCTCACGAATGATTTGATGTTTGTAAGCAGAAAGAAGCATTGTTGCGACTCTAATTCCTATTCTCGAAGGCACTTAGGAAATTGTATTAATATATTCTAGGGAACCCTCGGGAGCTTATACGCCCGTGAGAACTTTCCCGGAATCAATAACACCTGCACTAGTGGGGAGGTTACTCTACCTTCCCCATCAGTGGCGCCAAATGTATAACCATCATGCACAACAGTAATTTCACCAGCTAGAGAGTTGGATCATTGCGAACACCCGGCTTCGGGCAATGTATATTGTCCACCCCTTCTATTACTCATAAACAGTGGATTCTAGGGGAGTTGAAAAATTTGAAATAGTTTAATACTTGGAAATTAAAAAACCCCTAAGTCCTTTACTTTTCCCTCTCTAACGGCTAGGGGTACACCATCCTCTCAATGGGTCGGCGTCTTACACATTTTCGTATTTCTTTCTTTATCTAAAGTAGTTAAGTTTCTCAGACGTTCCGTCAATAGGTATTGCGTTTAATAGGTACACCCTGCCCAACCTGTGAATCTAGTTAAGTGGTTGAGGCTTTATAAATGTGTGAGCGAAGGTGTGTTTCTTTTTATTTTGTTAATGGTGGAGAGTCGGCTGCGGCGCCTGGCCCTATAGACTGAGGGAAGAAAGAAAAAAACCCTTAGCTCTAGAATCTCTGGACGATGTCTTCTCCTACACCATTACTAGTCTCTAAACGGGAGGTTGATTGATGCATTTGGCTCTCCATTCGAACGCCCGGGGGGGGTCGGCTGGGTTGGGGGTGGGTGGGTTGTGTTCCGGGCGCTGTGGATATTCCCTAACACTTTAATCGCATTTGGGAATCCAATCGGCGGAACGTCCCCCTAGTATAGGTTTGCCCCTACATCTAGTGATATGGGTGTGCTGTCATCTCGAAAGCTGCTAATTCAATCATTGATAGGGGCTGAGGGTATTATATTAGGCTTGGCGGATTTTTACCTCATCACTGGGTGTGCATGGAACTTCGGAAGGGAACTAGAAAAATTTAATTTCCTTTCCCACTTGATACTCCCCTTTTTAGATGTGTAAACCCGAAGCTGTGGGACTATCGAAGAGAGCTGGTTAGATTCATGGAGTGAAACAATTGGTTATGGTGGTCAAGCGCCAGCAAAATCGCATCAGGATCCTCCGGGTGGATTTCGTCTGTAGATTTAACCCTTCCACCGCTCTTCTCGGGAGGCATTGTGTGTGGGGTGGGTTCCTGGTTCCTCTTTTCCTTGGGATTTTCTGCCTCCAATTGCGTTCGCGACCCACTGGTGGCCTTGCCCACGTCTACTGTTACTTTTTTTTTTTTTTTTAAAAAAAAAAAACGGGCTGAAGTAGGGGCTATCACTCACGATTGTAAAGGAGTAACAATTGGTCTGTTACCATACAAGTTTCTATGGAGGCTCGCGCAGTGGAATCTAGTTTTCTTAAAACTTTTTATCAAACTTGAAAGTACATGAGGGTTGTGAGTTGTTTGGCACCTTTTTTTATTTTATTTTTTAGTTAACGTATGCTTGAAGCGGGTCTCTCGTTATGATAGGGAAAAGAAAAGAGGAAAGGGAGCGGCGGTAGTATTGGGGTAACAGATATGTTAGGAAACCGTGGGGTAGCGTAAAGGGAGGTGGGAACATAAAAATCAACTAGAAACATCGATAGAGAGTGTGGTGAATAAAATCAATTATAGCATGGTAAGGACCTAAAAGAATGAGACTAGAGCAATGGGGACACGCCTATCCTCCTGTCCCTTGTGGGGGAGCAGCAAGCAGAGCAATGTGAATCGCTGTCTGAGGCGTCGGATGAAGTTAGAAAAGTGTCGATAAGTTAGTCAAGCATTTGGAAAAGACCACCAATTTCTGCCCAGAGCTTCTCCTCAGCCCTCTAGAGCAACAGATCTCACTGGTCCAAGTTGGCCAGATGTCGCACTGAATCTTGAGTATTTGAATCCTCAACTTCATCCCAGTTGAAGCATTCATCATCTAAGTCTGGGAACTGAGTAAACGCCTCGGGCTATATTAAACAGTTGTTAGCTTTCACGAATACGGAGTATCACGTCAGGAGGAGGGTTGACTACATACCTTCATCAAGCTAAGCAAGTATTTAAACTCGATATCCGCTGTGTCCATCTCCAACCCAACTTCCTGATCGGCCCTTGTAGCATCTTCCGCTACGTCAGTATCGGCCCTTGTAGCATCTTCCGCTACGTCAGTATCTGAACCCCCACCTTCACCATGTTTACCGTCCTGGGCCATCTCCGCCTTACCCCCCTCTGCTCTGCTCCTAGGAGCCCTTAACCCCGCCGTCTTATACTTTTTCTTAATCTTGAAGCTAAAGTTTCGGACAACTTGATGAACAGCATTTGAAATCCTGTCATTTTATGCCAACGTTAGCATATCAGGCTCTCCTCTGGAAAACCGAAGAACCGAATGGAATAGAATAAGGTAAAATAGAGTAAGTAAAAGAAAAAAAACTTACCCATAAGAATCCTCAGGCCAAACTAGCTTATTCTGGCCCTTCTGGAAAAATTTCGGCCCAATCTTCTCAAGAGCGATCTTGAGCCACTGACGATATATAATGTCCTTGCTATCGAAGGGATTAGAATCAAAAGCGGGAGTTCCGGGAAGAATGATTCCCTTGATGTAGACTTTTAGATGATAGTACTGCTCGGCGCTCATGCCGATTTCGGTGATGTGCTTGGGGAGTTTGCCTGTTCTGACCGTTTCGATATGTGTCCTCACCATTTTTGGGGTTGTGGTTATATATTTTACTCCTTTGGTGCTAGTAGAAGTTGCGATTGCGATAGCGGAATAGCAATTATGGAGAGGGGCACTTTGGGAAAAGGAAAAAATTGGTGCGGCGGAGGTGGGGTAGTTGGGATGGATGCGAGTGAGAAGTTGTGATTGTTGGATTTAGCCTGATGGAATTTGATTCGGTGATTTCTCGTCGCCCGTGCTGGGGCTGCTCGCTGTATTGTTGGGGGCGGCGGCGGAGAAGAGCGGAAGGGGTGAGAGAGCAAATACTCGATTAGTGTCAAGGGGGTTATATTGTTGGGGGGGTTGGTATCTTGAAAGTGTAGACTGCCTGTGGGGTCGCTTTCGGGTTGTGAGGCAAATATATAGCTCTTGGTAATGAGACCGCGGAGGTGATGTATGCTCGTTGTCTCAGCATATGATTTCTCTTGTGGATTTCCTATTCAAAGGTGGGTTGTGGAAAAATTCAATGGCATATGCGCGGAGGTGCGGATGTATAGCTAGCTACTAGCAATTGACCTGTGGAAATATTTGTCTAGGGGCCACTATTTAGAAACTGGACAACTCTTGATGGCGAATCCGTACAGCGCAACGGCATTACCTCCCGCAAAATAAATCTGACATTTAAGCAACTTATTCTCAAATTGGGTGATCATAGTTGGGCCCACATCCAAAACAGCGACTCTAGAAGGTAACTCGCTAAAGTAATAGGGAACACTTTTTTGATAAGTGGACAAATGGATAAACGCATATGTTAATTTTGCAATTTGATAAAGAGAACGGAGAATTTGTAGTTGAAAATACAGTCTCAGGGTTCTGAAATTATAGCTTTTTGATCTTTGAAAACCGGATGACGCATCGTATCTGGAGTGTGGCTCCTCGACTATATCCCGGTCGGGATATTCACCAGGCAAATCCAGGAACTGGGCAAATACCTCGGACAATTGTAAATGGCTATCAGCTCTCAGATATACAGTAGATTATCATACGGGCTGGGTTACATACCCCAGCTAAATCGAGCCTTCTAGCTCTACCGCTACTGCTTCCATTTTTTTCATCACCTCCTTGGTCTGATTATGATGGTCCGTTGTCGTGCTGTTGTCCCTCTTTTATGAGGGCTCCTCAGCGACTATCATAAGATTTTCGTCATCTGGTGGAAGCTCCATCCTATTGTCGTATTTCTCCGCTCCGATAGCTCTCACTCCCGCTTTCTTGTAATTTCTCCCGGCCTCGGAACTCTAGGCCTGGGCGATCTAGTGGGTGGCATCACAAACACCACCATCATATTATCATACACGAGCGGTTAGCCCTATCGCATCAAAAATCCCTTCCCGGATGTCAGAGAATAAACCCAGGAGGGTATTCCGTGAAATTTATAAGTTGGAAACCAGAAAGGCCACCCCTAGTTCCATCCAGCCCCCTAGAAAATCAACTCTTCTCGCCCTTCGGAAGCCGTCTCGGCCTAAACTCATGAGTGTTGCTAAGCCATTGGGGTAAGTTTCCTTGTTTCCCTCGATTCTAAAACGCTTACCCTCGAGGCCGGGAGCGCTTAGGAGAACGATGGGCTTGATATGGATATATAACTCCAGGTATTTCTCGGAGGCCACGTCCGTTGGGGTAATGTGCTTGGGGATTTTGACATCTCCCATCACTCCTCGGGGCTCCCTTTCCACTTTCGCATCCGTATCTAGATGTTTAGTTTTAGTAGTAGCAGAAGGGTGCCGGGGGCTATAGGAGTGGTAGAGCTGATCTCGGGGTTGTGGTAGCTAAGTTTAGCTAAGTAGTTACAGTTTTGTGGGTCTCCATGCTTAAGCTGCTGTAGTCATGCGGGTGACAGTAGAGTAGGTTCGAGAGATCCTCAGTTGGTGTTAAGATAGTGTGCTGCCGTAGGAACGAGCCGTGGCACTAAGCCAAGGTGGGGATTTAGTGCTTATCAGGGCTTCCAGCTCGCTTTTTTGTGGTGGTATGGCGGGTTTGGGTTCGGGTGGTGGGACCGGTGGACGGCGGGGTACGATATCTTCTCGCTAGAAAGAGGTAATTTATGTTAACTAGATGTACGCGTGAGGTAAAGTATCGATTAGCAAGTTTACTCATCCATCCCCGGGGTCTGATTCCCAATTGTGTTTCCATTGCGGTGGAGCACTAAGGCTGCCCATGAAACAGACTTTGAAAGTTTCGTGATAATTTAGGGCGAGTTTTTGCCGTTTCTGATAGGTTGAAATGCAGGGTTTAGAAGGAGTATTGCGACAGTGCTCTTCCATGTTGTCCCGTTGAAAAACCATTCAAGCTTGTGGAATGTTCTTCCACCAATCTCTTCGTTTGTTCCCGTTTTTCCAGCTCAAGCACACCTTTTTTAGTGCATCTTTAGCTGGAAGATAGGGTATTGGTGGTGTACCCAAGAGAGTAGCATCAATATTTCGCAAGTTCTTGAGTACCGGTGTACGAGTACTCTTGGCCATTCAGTCCAGGTCAAAATACTAGCCCATTTGGGGAATGGTGACAAGATAAACTTTGTGGCTCTTGAAGTTGTGCAGTGCCCAGAATAATTTACCAAAGAAGCTGCACCGCCGAGAACCATCATCATGGTGGGATGCTAATTGGCGCTGATGCTTGGCTATCTTGTTACCCGGACAAAGCTTACCTGTTGTTAATTTTATTGTTTTTATAATAATATTATTATGATGGAAGGGTGGGCAGGAAAACGAAGGGATACAAGTTTTCAAAAATGGGTCAGACTAAAAGGTCCAACCTTGGGTTTGACCTGGGAGAACACCACTGCTCAGTTGATCCTTGAGAAACCACCCAACCTTGTATTTTGACCTCCTAATTTACCTTGCCTCGGCAAAACGCACCCTTAAAAGGTCTCGCCCCCTCTTGTTTTTTTGTGAAAGGGGGCGACAACACAATGCAATAGTTTCGTGAGCAAATCATCCCGTATCCACCGAAATAGGTAAGGCGCTAGGGTGGCTCCATTGAAACCTAAAGATCCCGACAACTCGATACCGTATTTGCTGTAATAATTGAACAGCTCTTTAGGACGTCCAAAATTCCCTCTTTTGGATAGGGGTCCAAAACACCACGGAAACTGACCCCCACAGCCCCAGCTTACGACAAGGAAAAAGGAAAAGGGTGCCGCACCTTAGGATATTTCAACGTTCTCGAGCGAGGTCCAACTGCTCCAGTAAATACGGTTTCGCAGTATTATCTTCTGCGAAAGATCTTTTATACTCCTTGTCCCCACAGTGTGCTAATGCTCCGATTGATCCCTGGTGAGAGCCCGGGAGAAGTACAGTACCGATTGAGATTCACCGACGTTACATCCCACAGCCCGTGGCTTAGCGGAAGCACTGACTGTAGATTACAATTTTCTACTAAGGACACGACAAAAAAATTAAAGTGGGATTCAAGACAAATACAGGTAGAAATAAATAAAAGTTTTTTTTTTCATTGAGCGTCGACCACTTGGATCCTATAAAAGAAAACCGCCTAAATAACTTGCTGATAAGGAGTACCGTCTTCAGTCCCGGGTCGCGCTTCAAACCGTCGATTGCAATTTAGGAGAGCAAGAGGAGGAGGCGGGCAATCTGGACGCAAATGTTTAGCTTCTGTACTCAATAGTGACAACGCGAACAGTTCAGGAGGGTGAGGTAACGCACCGGCTCCGGGCTGCTGGGGTCCAAGATTTCATCCCAATCAAAATACTCATCATCCAAATTGGGGAAATTAGCAAACACCTCGGGCTATAGCGGCCAGTTGTTAGATTCTCAAAATACCGGAAACCACAGCAGAGGGTGCTCAGGGTCATACCTGCATCAAACCAAGCAAGTCTTCAAGCTCGATAGGCTCCGCATCCATGCCTTCCTCCACCGTATCGTCGTCCTGATTCTCCTGGTCTGCAGCCTCTAGAATCGCCCTCATCTTCTCCTCTTCCTGCTCCCACTGTGCATATCTCTCATCCTCATTGAGCGCCACAACATCCTCCCCAACATCAGTATCACCACTAACGGTGCCTTCATGAGGTTCACCATCTTGTTTCATCTTCACCTCCTCACTACCTATCTCCCTCTTAGCGGCTCTTAATTCCCTCTTCTTATAATTCTTCCTAATCCTAATG